GCCTTGTCCACGGCTCCCCACACCAGCTGGGCAGAAGTCAGATAGACCTGGAGTCCGCCCTGCCTCCGCTCACCCCGCTGTGCCCACGTTCACCCCCTAGACCTGACAGCTGTGCGTGCATCTGCTCTCCTTCAAGGGAGGTTCCCAGAAAGTCAGAACTGTCTCGTCCATCGCTGGTTCCCTGACTCTGTACTTAACACAATGGGAAATAAGAAAAAGGGGAAAATCCTTGGGTTCACCTCGCTCTGCATTAACAGCAGTCCTGGGTACGACCCACATCACCTTCACCCTGCACTAGCAGGAGTCCGAGGTGTGAGCCACGTAGCACTCATTCCTTATTTCCTCTTCTGCCTGAGTCATTTATGACACATGCAGGGCCATGACTATGTACCACCTACAATACTGGCGACAGCATTGTGACTACTGTCACCTGAAGGAAGCCCATCAAAGCCTCAAAATAGATCATCCTGACCCCTCTCGCGCTTACAAACCTAGAATTTGAAAGTGTTCTGCTGGAAGAAGAAATATCTTTCCAAGGCACTTCCAGGTTTTACCCACAGAAATCAGGGTTCAAAAGGCAAATCCTAAACTAACATTGCAACGGGGGCCGAAAGCCTGCACCCGCTGAGAATGATGCGGACACGGGGATTAGCCCTGGGGCTCACTCTGCCCTGGGTCACCTTAGCACCAAGCCACCCCGCACCGCACTTGGTCAGGCTCCAGCGAAGGCGCTGGTACAGTAACAATGGCTCCCTCCCACCTACTCCTCCGCCTCCTTTCTCTTTTTCCACAGCGATCCATGAACGCTGAGGTGGAAAGCAGACGATTTTGATAACTTTCTCTAGCTGATTTCCCTTATATTTTTATCGCAATCTGTCTTAATTACTGTTCTCTTGTTACTGGGACAAATACCTGAAGGAAGGAAAGGTTTTTCTAGCTCACAGTTACTGGAGGTGTCAGTCCATACTCAGCTGGCTCCAAGGCAGAGTGGCACATGGCAGAGAGCAACCTTTCAGGGCAGCGGCAAAGAGCAGGAGCAAAGGGAGTGGCAGCGGCTCAGGCAGCCAGCTGGCCCCTCATCCCTCCTTACAGTGAAATGCAAATTACCTGCCCCAGGGCAGGAGCAGCGTCCACACTCACAATAATCAATCCAAATTCCAGAAGCTGCCCCATGACCACAGGAGGCTTTGGGGGGACACCTAGACACAAACCATAACATGGTTCTATGTCTACTAGGATGTAAAATGAGACCTCAGAACTTCAGCCTCATCACTCATGACTCAAACCCACCACACCATATGATTTCCTGCCATATGCAAAGCACCACACCCGTGACCAGGGGCCTAGAGACACCCAGGAAATAAAGTCTGTCAAGAACCTAGGGATTTGTGGGAAAAAAATACATGAAGACATAATGAACACCCACACGTACGAAGTGATTTGACATGTGAATGTGCTCACATTCATATATGGTAATTACCGAACATGTAAGCCTATATTTTGCCTCATATGATGGTCGATGGGCTACTTTTGCCCCCAACACCACCACCTGAGAGATGGCTCCTTCAGAGGAAGCATTCAGTGACAACTCTCGATCGTGTGCAGACCACAGCCTTCCACGCAGCCTGAGCCTCTACCACGGAACCACAGTGTGGACCCTGTGCGTCATTTTTTTACATCATTTTACACTATCGTATACTGTTTCTGGTAAATGTCGTATATGTGGAAATACCTCAGAAGTCAGCCCAGGCACAATTCAGGTGCTCCAGGGCCATGAGTGGCTGACGGTACCACACTAGACAGGACAGCTCTTCTACCCAGAGAAGTATCGCTGAATACTAATTTCACAGGATGTTAATGTCATATTTTATTAATTTGAGACTCATTTTTCCTCATTTCCAAGATCCCTCCAAGCAGGATGCACCTACAGGTAACAGTGTTTTGGGTTTCCTCTCTTTTACTGGTTCATAAAAAAGATACGCCCTCCAACGAACGGGCCTCTGGAGGTAGCACTGATGTAAAAACGAGTTCCACAGTCAAATAAATTCTGGGGAAGTTGAGGAAAGCAGAGTTCCACAGGTTGCTTTCTTCTAGGACAGCTCAGAGCTCTTAATACGTTAATGTAAATTGTTAATTTCCTAAAGAAAGATACACCACGTACCCCCCCCCCACCGAAAACATCACCCACAGGACGCACTGACCCCGAGCAACTACTCATATTTGCAGAGAACTCTGCTCCACAGGACGCGACTGGCAACGCTTTCTCACCATGCACAGTGGGTGAAGGACTTCTCGTGGGCTGCAGGAAGGGGTCGCTGGGTGCACCGGATGTGCTCAGGAAGGAGCCCAGCAGGTCTTGGCTGGGCGGCTTGGTGGGGGCTCCAAATGGGTCAAAGACGGCACCTAGACAACAGCGGGGAAAATGTACACTCATTTATGCTACAAATACAGACTTGTCATCATTATTCCCCAGCCCTGGGCCAAGTCCTTCAAAATCCAGGATAGTAACAGCCTCCAGGCCCACCCCAGGCCCCGAATATCCTTCAAACTTCCTCCAGGGCTAACAACCGGTCCCAGGGATTTCTGACTGCACAAGGATAATCGCACTCTCATAGGCAAAGGAGTCTGGAGTTACTTATCTGTTGGATAAACCATAAAGACTACAAGAATACCTGTGAACTAAGCTACTGCACTGCAGATGGTAATTTGTAATAGTTGTTTCATGTTGGGAGTGCCTATCATTGTGGTATTCTGAATATGGGCGGCTT